AGATTTTTTTGTACTTAATTCTAAAGAGTAATTGATGTTAAGATCCATAAACTATGAATTTTACTTGTCAGAAAAACTAATAAATTCCATGTTAAGGTCAAAACAAAGCATCAAAATGGAAAGAACCTTACCGAACAATTTCTAATTAAAATTGTAGAATTTTCATTTTACAATTTGCTGAGATGTTCCTTGTGCTCATTTGCATAAGAATTGATCCTATCTGTATTTTTAAATAACAAATGAACAGATGAAAAATTTATTGCAAAATGAGATGCTTTGAGTTGATTACAAAATTGAACTGCTAAAAATTTTAAAGAGTTGCAACTAAGTTTTGGATAAACGTAAGTTGAGGTAGTTACATATATTGGTTATTGAAGCATCACATGAAACTTATGCATTACTTCAATGAGCATAAAAAATGAAATAAAATCTTCAATAAGTCGAGTTTGTGCAAGAAGGAGAAAGTTAACAATAAAATGAAAGTTATGATAAATAAAGACTGGTGTACCAAAAACAGGTTCTGCTATTATTAATTAAATCCATGAAAAGAATAGGAAATTTTATTGGGATATGAATTTCAGTATGAATCGTAAGGTAACTGGCCTTCAGTTCTGCAAGTTGTTGCAATTCTACATAATTTTGTACACGATGAAATTCAAGTAATAAAGTGGCAAATCTATAGGCACAGTTACTGACAAAGGCATCCTCGATCAAACATTGCTCTAGACGTTCTTGCTCTTCTTTAGCTTTTAACCTTCGTGCGCTTCCTTAAGTATTTTTAAACTTTCAAAAGAGTACTGTTTTGAAAAGGCTCAGGTATTAATACTCTGTTTGTAATTAGGTTCATCAGGTTTGTTAAGAACCATTTGATGCTTTCTTTATGTATTAATTCTGTATCTACAATTCTGAAACTTATTTAGACCTTACTAGCCGTTAGCGTGCATTTTAAAATTTTTATAATCTGTCAGCAATGGATGAACCACAGTATTATACACTCATGCTGACTCTTTTCTACAGTATGGCAATCCTTTACTATTAAATGCTGTTCAGATTATGAATGGCCTTGTACACAAGTTTATATGATGATCAAAATAAGATTTTTTAGAAGGAATCCTCCCAGCATTCCAAAATGTATTGTTCCTTTTGCTGTTACATAAATTTGACTTTTATTCATTCTCTATATTGTTCCAATACAAAACAGCTGAATAGTTAGTTTTTTAGATCATCAAGTTCTCTGGCACTTAATCTTTTATTTATTTTTTTATGTGCAAAAATTCTATTACCAAATTGAGATCCTACAATAACTCAGTTTATGATACTTTATATAGTAGTAATTTAAATCTTTTGTGCCGATTCTATAGAATACATATCATACTTATGCTTTGATGACTACTTTTTGACTATCTGCTTAAAATAATGCTCAGGCTACATAATTCTTTGTTTTATATACAAGATTGAAGTAAAAATATGCTTCAGCTTATATGTCACTGTGATAGAACCAATACTCCAGAAGTAAAGCAAATGTACGCGTTATCTCAAGAAACGTAGTATTAAATATATGTATTGTTATAATACATTTAGAGAAAGGACAATCAGTCCTATGTTATAGTAGTTAATTGAAATAAATGGTTGATGAGATTATGTATATTAAATTGATATTATCATTAAGATTAAATATGATGATGATTGGTTAATCCTTGCAAGTGAAAATCCAACACTTGATTTAACTTAGATAGCTTCAAATTAGGGAAACTAAGGTGAAAACTTAACAAATATCATCAAAAAAAAACATACATAAATAGCCTCACTCTCCCTTCTTGCAGTGAAATAAGAAGAGATGCAAATTGCAATCAGGAAGTACTAAAATATTTGAATTATGAACCCACTTATTAAATTGTTTCAGAATAAATTAATAAAGCTTAATTATATTAATGGCTATGTGATGTAGGTTTGATTAAGTTTGAATAGTCAGGAAATTTATTTAATGTAGAGAAGGACTAAATATGAACAAGGATCTAAATTTAGTCTTATCAGCATTTCTAGAAAAAGGATAATAACATGAATAAGAATAGTGGTGGTCAGGTGAAGTACTAAATAGAATAACAAACTTTTAAATTTCCTATGAGGCAAAACGATGGACATTAAATTTTGGAATATAAAATGAAATTTTAGCAAATTAGGACCATATTGACAAACTTTAAAGCTCAATTTCTCAATAATACATGAAGTTAAAGATAAAAAGCATGCATTATTCTCAAACTGCTGATTTAGTTTTTTGCAGGATAGGTTAAGAAGGTTTCATACATAGCTATCAATATGTCATGCATAAGCAAAAAAACTTTTGATGATACATAAAATTACAAAAAGGCTAGACATGTATTATAAAGAATTAATGCTGAGATAAATTGTCAGGTGTAATTCTTGAATTAACAAATAAAAGCGCAGGATTTGCAAAGAAGGTAAGATTAAATCATTAGTCACTAGATGTCTTTTTGAGGCTGATGAAATAATATAAATTAATCATATTTGTTTTATTATTAAATCTCATCTTTAAGCCAGTGATATGCTTGAAAATATAAATTTCCATTATTAATATTATGTTAATTTACTCTTTATAAAAGAATAGTGCTTTACTCTATTCCTGGCATGTAACCAGATAAATCAATTTAGGTTGAATTTAATATTAATATAATGATTCATGTCCTACCTAGTAAATTAAATCAGTTGGCTGCATTCACAAGGAAAAATGTGATACTTTGTTTTAAGAGATTAATTATTGATTCAAAAAATAAGGTTTATTAATATATTTATTTATTAATTAAAGTAGATGAAATAATCACAAAACCAAATTTTAAAACCAAAAACCTAAACAAAAGCCACAAAAAATAAACGACTAAGAAAAAAAGTTAAGAAACTTTCAATTGTTATATTAACAAAATATTCAGAAGTGTGCATCCTGAATTATCTTGTTCGAGAAAAGCTTTGAGAATTGTAAATTAATTTACTTACGATATCTTTGAAAAGATTATGTAAGAGGTAAAGACCTTACTTAAAATCACCATCAAAAAGACTCTTATGGCAAGAGATATTCTTACAGCAGTCAGGTTTTTATTTCCAGGAGAATTGGGGAAGCATGCTGCACATGAAAGAGTTAGGCTCTATTAAGGTAAAAAAGTAGCTGAATTAACGGCTATTCTGATAAGAAAAGAATTGAAATAAATATATATATATATGCTGATGTGAATAAAATAAATCATTGGTGGATCACTTTTTCTTTCTCATGTATGGTTCGCATTTCATTCCTATTAGTTTTTTGATTCTCTCCGCCAGTTTCTCTGCCATTTCTTTCATTGTTTTCTACACCGAGGTGTAGAAAGGCTTCGCAGAATCTAAAATGTAATTTTGTATTTTCTAGAATTTTTCTTACCAAATTCCTGGTTCCCCAAACAAATGTTCATTCAGCATATGTTCAGTAGTCATATTCTTTTTATGTGTCTTAAATATCCTCCAACCATGTTTGTATGGTTCAAAAAAGTCATAGCCTGGGATCCTTCTTATGACCTGCACTTGAACCCCTCTGGGTACTCCATCGTTGTCCGTCCAATACGGATCTCCCTCCTTCAAGTCCAAGGACTTCCACTGTTTTTCCATTTCTGCTAATGCCTCTTCATATTGTTTGTTGTAGTCACAAAACATTCTTGCGACACTATCATAAACACTCAGATAAGCTTCTCATAAGCCAAAGGATTCCATCTTTTCACTTTAGAATTAATCCCAGAGAAAGAAATTGTACAAGTAATAAGTGTATGAAAATGTTAAAATCTTAGATTTAAACCAATCTTTAAACTAATTATACGAACCTGCTTGATTTAAACAATAATTGTTAAAGTTATTTTATTATTAATGTTCAAGCAATAAATAAAAATATCTCCGTTTGTTTCATTTTTTGCCAATGATATCAACATTATCTTAGTGTATACACTAACATAAAGTTTCTTTTATTTATTTAAAATCCCTATTTCTAAAATGTCTAAAATAATCAAAGTCCAATTCCATTTCCTTGAACATGGAACAAAATTAAAAAGTTTCTTTAAATAAACTTTAATTTCAACTTTCTGCTTTGTTTGTTGCGATTTCAAATTCATTCTGACATTAATAAATCATAGTTAAAATAGTAAGATTTCTTTGGCAAAAAATAAAGAAATCTACAAAATTAATATAAATGAAATTTAATTGGATTAAGTTTTCAAATAATTACTTTTAATTTCTAGATTATTTAAATAAGCATAAATTCCTTTTGTTTTATTACCTAAAATGTGGAAAATGATAATAATATAATTTTCGGTTATGAAACATTTAAGGATGAAAATTTTGTTATTTTACATGAAGTTAATATATATTGAAATATTGGTGAAAAGAAATTATTATTTAAAAGTTATTTCAATTATCTTAATATTATAGTATAATCTCAATATAAAAAAAGATGGCATAGTTTATAATGAATTTATTTGGATTACTTTATTTTCTACTTGTTTCAGAATCTTAACATGCTTCTCATTAATTAAATTAAATTTTTCCTGGGAAGATCACCTTCAGAACACGCCATTTTGACATCATCGGCATAATTTTTTAATTTAATTTTTTAAATGAAATAAATAATAATATTCCTTTTTAACTTATAAAATTATCGTTACATTGATTTATTTTCTTGATATAATTATATTACAGAAATTTAGGGTATTATATACGTAATTGATTTAAGTTTAGAGATGCATAAATTTTTATAAGTGTTAATTTTCTTGATAAATGTAAAATTATTAATATAATATAATATAATTTAATGAATTATTATCTGATTCGCAATAAATCAATAATAGAGACCTCTGATGAACAAAATTTAAAGGATCAAAGTAGGTGAAATATAGATTAATAATAAATAAAATAAATGAACTTAAACTAGAAGATATAATAGATGACAATTTAATAACTATCATGACATAAAAAGCAAAGGTTTAGAATAAAATGAATTTCCATAGAAATTGAAGATTGCAATCATTTTGCTCATTTAATAAAGGGAAATTTTTCAATTTGGATACAAAGTATATTATTGAATTAACTGAGCAATAATTTATCTATAGAAAGGATAAAGGACTAAAGTATATTATTAATTTAATGGCAGTTCTAATGTAAGGGTAAAAATGAGGAATTTTTACTGATTCGGAGACTCAATTAAAAAATTGAATTGCTGTTGAATTTTTAAATAGTTAGGAATAGTCATGTTTGACTTAGTTTCGAACTTACAATTCGAAGCTTTGCCAAACGTTTTAAGATTAAGTAATCATAAAAATTGCTATAGATAGAGATATATATGCGTTGAAAAAGAAAACAATCTATCTATTGCTGCATTGCATCCATTTAAATCAACTTAAGTTGATTATGCTTGCTTTTATCAGAAATTATTAAATAGTGCTTAGACAAAAAAATATCATGTCTTTAGTTATCTGATAAAAATTGTACTTCTATCCTACAAGTATATATCCTATGCAATTTTGCTCATCTCACTAGGTTCCTTTATGCTTTGGAATTTTTTGTAAGGTTAAGTAGAGTTATCTGGCTGGTTCAATACACCTTTGTAGAAATCTCTTTATTAAGCATATCTATTAAAGCCAGATATTAAATTTATTGTTGTGCACATCAAAGAATATAGATCTTATCCAATATATTTTTTAATTTTTAACAATTAGAGAACAAAGTTGTTGGTAATGAATTGCATCTTTATTTTGATTGAATGCATGAGTATTAGAGATAAAACTGTTATAGCTCTAATTTAATCATTAATTTTTTCGAACTTTGTAGGGATATTTATACTTCATTTTCTTCAAGTTATAATTTAATGATTGAAAGATAAATTCCAAATTTTGATATTTAAAAAAAAAATCGATTGATAATTAAATATTAATGATTGAAGTAGAAAGTATTTGACTATAGGAATAAATATTTAGAATAATTGATATTTCGTTACTATAATTTCTCAAAATATAGTAAAGTGAACATCTCAAATGTTTCTGTTATTTTCGTCTAATATATTCACAACTTTAATGAAATTTTTTTTTTATTTATCAGTTGTCAACCAGTTTATTGTATTTGAATAAAATTCTTATTAATTTTATCAAATAATTCGTCCTCCAATAAAATTAACAAAATAGGATTTTGTATTTTATTAAATTAAAAACACCAATACAAGTAAAGGGTATAAAGCACGTGATTATTAAGTTTAGAAGAAATAATGATTGATTGATATAATAGTAAGTGCTTTTAGATTGGCATCATTTTACCCAACTAGTGGAAATTGATCATAAATTATTAAAAGGTAAAATATCAAATTATAATTAGAAATACAGTGCAAAAGTTAGATTCGAGGATCATTAATTAAGCGAGTGAATAATGAGGGCCTGCTACATGGATTAATACACAAGAATTCTTGTAAAGGAATAAATTAACTAGGATCACTCAAAAAATGCTAAAAAAAAAATAATAATTTAAAATTGAAGCTGTGGGATTTAAATTGATGGCTTTCTTCCACTTAAAAAATGATAAGTCTAATAAGCAAATCTAAAACTCAAAATATACTGACTACTTTTAATCTCTATCTTCTATGAGTTCAGTTTCTTCAAGAAATCAGTTTAACATCATTCGTATAAACCTTAATGGCATTTAATCAAAAGAAAGGATGGAAGTTTAAATCAAAATTTTATAATAATTTCAATAATATTTAAATTCTAGAAATGATTAGTATTAGAGGATGGAACTTAAGGGTTAGGAATGTGATTTGTTTATTAAAAACATCCTTAAATATCGTTCATTTGTAAAGGATAAAGATATGTAAGAAACAAATCATAACTTTAATATTGAATTAAAAATTCAAAATTATTGTTTTTAGTTCCTAGATATTGTAGCATTTTAATAAAACAAATTAAAGCATATTAGTTAAGAATGAATAATTATTTTACTTAATAAAATAAGAATTCTTAATGCTTTTAGATCTTTCAATTTTCACAATTTAAAAGAATTTACAAAATTTCAATTTGATGCTTCGTTTTCCAATTGCTTATCAAATCCTTTCTCCTTTTATATTAAGTGAGATAAAGATTACATTTTATTAAATAGTTTTCCAATTGTGTTAAAACTTATAACTTTACTTATTTGGTTATTTCCTAATTTCCCTTCATTTAATTCTATTTTCAGGAGACAGGAGAAGATGCTTATCAAAGTTATTAAATGCTCATTTTTTAACATTGATTGTTATTTTCTGTAATTTATTTTGAACTTCGAAGAGGAATACTAAGTGATTTGATAAGTTATCCTTTCAATTTCGTAAATAATCATCAATTTTTAAAATAAGTCTTTTTCTGAGGTAGATATTACTCCAAATTTGAATGTTTTAATCAATTACTTTTTGTTTTGATTTAAATTACTTAAAGATTATGCTAATTATACTTGGTCAAAGACTTAGAATGGATGTATTTATGCTTAAAAACCAATAATTATGGTTCAAAAATGTTATATATATATAATTAAATTTCAAGTATTTTTATAAAATATATACAACTTTTATTTTCATCATGAATCATTTCAGTGATTTTAAATTCTATTAATCAAAATTTTATTAATTTTTTACAAAGGTCCATATTAATATTAGAGAAAATAATGAAAGTTAATAATTTAAACATGTTTATTATAATTAATATCTAATGATATCCTAATTAATCAAGATCATTTATTTATCATAAATAAATTAAAATGTTATAAACTATATATCTATTAAATTATAAATAAATAATAGTTTTACTTTAAAAACACAGTCTGAAATCAAATTAATCAATTTAATTTAAAATAAATGATTAATAATTTATTAAAGCATCTGAAAATAAGTGTAAAAAATTTAAAATAGGTTTATTTATATCACTTTTATATCTTAAGTGAAAACATTTCCCAAAAATAAAATACATTTATATAAAAATAAATGTTATAATAATAATGTTGCTAAATTAACTTTAAAAATATGCTCAAGTGTTACAAGAAATCTGTTTTAATAAATTTGGCATTAACTATGTCTATTATCTGCTTTGCCTAACTCAATTGATAAAACTATTGATTTTAATGATATTTCGTTGAATTAATTTTCATTATTAATTATCTAATTACTAAAATTTTCATTAGAATCAGATAGTTATCATATTTACATGTTCTTTGAAATGGATTTAAATATCTAAAGAAGACTATTGCACATATTGAGTCCTTCTTTTTAATCAAAATAAATTAATAATTATACTTAAGTATAATCCTTGAGAGTTAGTGATGTATCCTTTATCCTTCCTTTAAAAGGGAGGATTAAAGATTTCAGAGTAGGAGATATTTTTGCCCTTAACAAATATTATGCTGAAAAGGATTATGCTGTCAGAATTTTCACTGATATATCATTAATAACACACAATTCTTAACAAAAATTAAGATTATTGTTTTTGAAAATAATTATCGAAGTTGGTAAATATATTCACCAGATGGCTTTCTTTTATTTGGATCTTCATTAGTATGCTTGTAGTAATAAAGCTAATAAAATAAATGGACAACTAAAACTAGCACTTGATTAGAATATAAATGCATGGCTCGTATCCAAAACCTTAAATTTTACCAAATGCAAGCGACTTTTCTATTTAAGTTACTCTTAAGGTCATAAATATTTTGTATTAGAAGAAGCTGAATGCATTTTGATCATGAATGATTCTGTCTAGGGTGAATCAATTCATGGATGATTGAATTAAATTCTCAACCTTCATAATCTTTTTAGAATCATTTAGAATATACAGTATTGTTATCCAAAGAATTTGATATTCAAAGATATTTATTTTCAATGTTATTCATCAATCATTTATAAGTTCTTTTGATCTTTCTTAATCCTTAAAATAATGCTGCTTCAACAAACTTCTATATGGGTTGTGAATTATTAATCTAGGTTTAAGGATAATTAATTTAATATTCTGGATGTGCTAGGATTTGTTAATCACTCATTGATCACAATTTAATTAAATAAAATAATTAGCCTTCTATATTGTGATTGTCAAAATCAAAGTATAGTAAGAGTAGAAGCTGTTACTTGAAAATACATGTTGTCGTTAAGCTTAAAGTATTTATCAAAAATAAGTTTATTATCTAACTTCATTTATGTTTCTATTGATTCTCTTGTTATTCCTTTATTCAAAAACATTGTTATAAACGCTTTTTTATGTTAATATGACTGTTTCTATATTTATTCTTCCTTTGTAGATCCATAAACTCTGAGATAAGCCTTTTCTCCTTTCACACCTTAGACTATGGAAAATAGTTAATAGAAAGTTTATGTCACTTATTGTGAATTATTTAATAAGAAAACTTTCCAATAATTCTAGGTTAGATTTAGGTAGAATTTACAGTGTATATCTTTTGTATCAACAACATTCTTGATCAAAACTGATAAGAACGAATGGAAATCACTAAAGTAGTACTCAAAGAATTTGCCAGTATCCTTGTTTTAATTCTAATTAAATCTAGATCCAGAGATTTCAAATCTAAAGATTAATCTTATTCTATCAACTATGGATTAAGTTTATTTGTAATTGATTTAATTCTCTTAAAACTTATTCTATATTTGATTGCTCCCTATTTATTCATAATATCCATATATAAAGCTTCATATATTTTTATTGGATGTAAATACATTTTAAGTACTTCTTTTTAAAAAATAAATGGTTTATCCTTGTTGAAAATTTCTATATTTCATCATGATCTTTTGCGAATATATAATACAAAAATGAATGATTATTTCCTCTAAATATTTGCAATTTTATCGCAATAAAGAACCTAACTTAATTCATACTAAAATAAAGATAAATTTCATTAATAATATAAATCTTTTATTTATTATCTATATTATTAAGTAGGAAATTACTTAATAATCTGAAATTGGGTAGAGGTCTGGAAAATCAGTGTTGGGGTGGAGGGTTTATTGATTTTATTATTAAATAGTCAAAAATAGAGACATAATTAACTATCAATAAGTCATTAATAAAGTCTAAATCTGAAATGACGTTACAATCTGAACTGGGCAGGTTCTGGAAAATTGATGTTGGGGGAGGATTTATTGTTTTTATTTTTACCTAGTCGCGAGCAAAGCGAGATGCAATAGATCTTAGTAGTTTCAATAGTTATTTAAAGTTTCTGAGAATTGTGTATTTTATATTTCATACTCAATATTTTTCTAATAATTATATCAAGTTAAAATTTGTATTTAATATATATTAGGCAAAAAATCTTTGATAGTTTAGGAATTAGATTCATGGAAGCTGAATCTTTATTTTATTGGACCTCTAGCATTGATATTCAGCCTCTGAAATCTTAGTAATTGTGTTAAATAGTTATTAAATAAATACTTTGTATTTTTATTCGATATTCATCAAGTATCAACTATGCATCAGTTGATGTGAGTTGTCACAATCATAATTTACATCAACTCCTTCTCTTAATTAAATTCGATTTTCTTCCACTTAATAATATGAAAGATACATTTTGGTTCCTAGTATAAAACTCAAAATAAAGTAATAGAAATTCCAAAGTATTTTTAAAAAAAATTATGTATTGCACTTATCATATTCAAAATCAAGTATAAACGATATGCATAGACCCCCACAAATGTCAAAAATACAGAAAATTATGTGCTGAATGCCAAGAGGAACATGGAGTGGATTTTAAATACACAGTTTCAATAAAAAAGTTTAAAGATATGGCAATGATGAAATTCGAAGAATCTAAGCCTGAAGATATCCAGGAAATACTTAAATAGAGAATGAATTTTAAATAATTGCTTGCTTCAACTTAAAGCATGTTAAAATAAATTTGGGATGAGTTAACAGAATCATTAAAATAGATCTATGATATGATTGAGAAAGAAGATAAATCTTATTTGTAAATCATCAACAACGTGAATCCAACAGAATTATCAAATACTGAATTAGAAAAATTAGTCCAAATTATAATAGGAAAACCATTAGATGATTGGATTAATTTGAAAAACACTTATTTTAAGAGGTTGGAAAGGACAAAGAACTTTTGGGAAATAGAAACCAAAGCTTTTAGTGAAAAATTGAATAATGAAATGAAAGAGATGATATATTTAATTAAAAAGGTTGATACTTCAAAAGAGAGCATTCAATCAATTAAAGAAATAAAATAAGTATATAATCGAAAGGAAGATTTGTATTAGGTATTAATATAGGCAAAGAATGTTGATGGAACCTACCTTAATGAAGTTCTTTAGATATTGAGATAATAGAAAATTATTAATTGTTTAGAATTCTTTAGAGGTTAATCTCAGTTAAAATTTATCTTTGATATGATTAAAAATATTAGTGAAATTGACTTTTATAAAAAGAACTATTCAAAAGAAGAATATGAATAAATAAGAAAGGATTTGATTAAAAAAATATCCTAACACTAGCTCATAATTGAATTTTTGAAATTCTTAGTACATATGACAGCCATTGATGAGAGATTTATCTAATGTGGATCGAATTCATTTAAAATATTAGTTGAAATGAAGGTGGATTTAAGAGAATAAAGTTTTGAGAAAATAAGGATTAAAGATACTTCATTAGTAGGTGGGAATTTTGTAAGATGCAATTTTAATGGTTCAGAATTAAATAATGTAGATATAAGTGGAATTAACTTAAATTAAGCTTAATTGTTTAATTGTAAATGGAGAAATATTAAAATACATGAGTTAAATAAACTAGATGGTCATTCAGATTATGTAAGATCAGTCTGTTTCTCTCCTGATGGTACTACATTAGCATCTGGTAGTGGTAATATAAATTCATTAATACAAGGTGATAACTCAATCCGTTTATGGGATGTCAAGACAGGATAATAAAAAGCCAAATTAGATTGTCTTTCAAATTATGTAAAATCTGTCTGTTTCTCTCCTGACGGTACTACATTAGCATTTGGTAATGATTAGTCTATCCGTTTATGGGATGTTAAAACAGGATAATAAAAAGCCAAATTAGATGGTCATTCAGGAGCCATCTGGTCAATCTGTTTCTCTCCTGATGGTACTACATTAGCATCTGGTAGTGGTAATGTAAATTCATTAATCCAAGGTGATAACTCTATCCGTTTATGGGATGTCAAGACAGGATAATAAAAAGCCAAATTAGGTGGTCATTCAAATTATGTAAAATCAGTCTGTTTCTCTCCTGATGGTACAACATTATCATCTGGTAGTGATGATAAGTCTATCCGTTTATGGGATGTTAAGACAAGATAATAGAAAGCGAAATTAGATGGTCATTCAGAAACCATCTGGTCAGTTTGTTTCTCTCCTGATGGTACTACATTAGCATCTGGTAGTGGTAATGTAAATTCATTAATACAAGGTGATAACTCTATCCGTTTATGGGATGTTAAAACAGGATAATAAAAAGCCAAATTAGATGGTCATTTAGGAGCCATCTGGTCAGTCTGTTTCTCTCCTGATGGTACTACCTTAGCATCTGGTAGTGGTATTGTAAATTCATTAATATAAGGTGATAACTCTATCCGTTTATGGGATGTTAAGACAAGATAATAAAAAGCCAATTTAGATGGTCACTCAAATTATGTAAAATCAGTCTGTTTCTCTCCTGATGGGACTACATTAGCATCTGGTAGCGATGATTTTTCTATCCGTTTATGGGATGTTAAGACAGAATAATAAAAAGCCAAATAAGATGGTCATTCAGATTATGTAAGATCAGTCTGTTTCTCTCCCAATGGTACTACATTAGCATCTGGTAGTGGTAATGTAAATTCATTAATACAAGGTGATAACTCAATCCGTTTATGGGATGTCAAGACAGGATAATAAAAAGCCAATTTAGATGGTTATTCAAATTATGTAAAATCAGTCTGTTTCTCTCCTGATGGTACTACATTAGCATCTGGTAATGATAACTCTATCCGTTTATGGGATGTTTAGACAGGATAATCAAAAGCGAAATTAGATGGTCATTCAGAAATTATCTGGTCAGTCTGTTTCTCTCCTGATGGTACTACATTAGCATCTGGTAGTGGTAATGTAAATTCATTAATACAAGGTGATAACTCTATCCGTTTATGGGATGTTAAGACAGGATAATAAAAAGCCAATTTAGATGGTCATTCAAGCATTATTTAATCAGTTTGCTTCTCCCCTGATGGTACTAAGATAGCATCTGGTAGCAGAGATAACTCTATTCGTTTATGGGATGTTAAGACAGGATAATAAAAAGTCAAATTAGATGCTCATTAAGAAACCATCTGGTCAGTCTGTTTCTCTCCTGATGGTACTACATTAGCATCTGGTAGTGGTAATGTAAATTCATTAATACAAGGTGATAACTCTATNTATAAATATCAATGGATAAGAAAATTATAGAATTTCTCAAATTTTTAGTTCATCTTACTGCCTTAGATGATAAATATATATTTTGTGGGTCGAATTCTCTTCATTTATTAGTATAAATGAAGGCTGATTTGAAGAAATAATGTTTTGAGAATATAAGAATTAGAAATACTTCCTTAATAGGAGCTAATTTGGTAAGTTGTAACCTAAGTGGATCTGAATTTGATGATGTCACCATTAGTGGAATAAATTTGAATTAAGCGAAATTATTTAATTGCAAGTGGAATAACTTAAGAATAAATGAATTAAACCAGTTAAATGGACATAGTGGATATATCAAGTAAGTTTCTTGTTCTCCAGATTGTAAGTCTTTAGCTTCTTGTAGTGATGATAATTTGATTAGGTTGTGGAATGCAAAATCAGGAAAAATAAAGTTTGTTTTAAAAGGAGAGAGATAGGTAAATTCAGTATGTTTCTCTCTAAATGATACTGCTTTAGCTTCATGTAGTGGTGCAATTGTGTATTTATGGAATCTGAGAACAGAAAAAAAAATATCAAAATTAATTGGTCATACGAATGATATAAGTACAGTATGTTTCTCTCCTAATGGGACTAAGTTAGTTTCATGTAGTAATGATTAATCTATCCGTTTATGGGATATTAAGACAGGATAATAAAAAGCCAAATTAGATGGTCATTTGAGTAATGTTAATTCAATCTGTTTCTCTCCGGATGGTGCTACATTAGCATCTGGCAGTGATGATAAGTCTATTCGTTTATGGGATATCAAGACAGGATAATAAATAGTCAAATTAGATTGTCATTCAAATGATGTAAACGCAGTTTGTTTCTCTCCTGATGGTGCTACATTAGCATCTGGTAGCTATGATAAATGTATCCGTTTATGGGATGTAAAGACAGGATAATAAAAAGCCAAGTTATGTGGTCACACAAGCTTTATTAATTCACTCTGCTTCTCTCCTGATGGTACTTTGTTGGCTTATGGTAGTAGAGATAACTCTATCCGTTTATGGGATGTTAAGACAGGATAATAAAAAGCCAAATTTGAAGGCCATTCAAATTGGGTTAGATCAGTGTGTTTCTCTTCTGATGGTTCTACATTAATATCTGGTAGCGATGATAAGTCTATCCGTTTATGGGATGCTAAGTTGGGACAATAAAAAACCAAATTAGATGGTCATTCAAATGAAGTCAACACAGTTTGTTTCTCTCCCGATGGTGCTATATTAGTATCTAGTAGTGATGATAAGTCTATTCGTTTATGGGATGTTAAGACAGGATAATAAAAAGCAAAATTAGATCGTCATTCAAATGATGTCAGCACAGTCTGTTTCTCTCCTGACGGTACTACACTAGCATCTGGAAGTTTAGATAACTCTATCCGTTTATGGGATGTTAAGGCAGGATAATAAATAGCCAAATTAGATGGTCATTCAAATGAAGTCAAAACAGTCTGTTTCTCTCCTGATGGTACTACGTTAGCATCTGGAAGTTTAGATAACTCAATCCGTTTATGGGATGTTAAGACACGATAATAAAAAGCTAAATTAGATGGTCCTTCAAATTCCTATGGAATTTCATCAGTCTGTTTCTCTCCTGATGGTACTACATTAGCATCTGGTAGTGATGATAAGTCTATCCGTTTTTGGGATCTTAAAACAGGACAACACATCTTTCCTTCAAATAATAGTTACAAAGAAACTTTAGCATAATTTAAACTACCCATCCTTCCAAAGAACGTTCTTTCTGACAGTAGTAATTATTATTTATTATAATTTAGCTAACTCTTTTATCACTATTCTGCAAATTTCCTAAAACCCAACTTTAGAAGCTTACGGAGCTTTAATATTGAAAGGAGAATTTATCAATTACAAAGGAGTTGATTTAAGATCATTATTCAAATCAAAAGGAAGTTACATTTTTGAAGGCTAAATTGGATAGAAATAACCATAAAATTGATTTCTACAAATATATATACAATATATTGTTTAACTACTTTATATTTGATAACTAAGTCGTACTCTTAAGCTTTGTTTGAAAGCAAAGCTATATACGTATTGATTGCCTTTGAATAATTAAATAGTCAACAGCATATTTAGTATATCTTCTAATGTTAAACACTTAAAGGTTAAGATATTTTCATGGTTATAATCGGCATTAAATAACTGCAATGCATTCCCTAATTTCCCTTTTCTCTCACAGTAATCTGTATAGAGGTACCTATGGAGGTGGATCAACCTAGGCCACCTGAGGGAAAAGAAGAGCAAACTATTTTACGTACACTTTACTGTCTAGAAAATAGTAGTTAGTATAAAGGAAACTTCCAATTTATATTTAAAAGCTAACCCAAATTGAATAAAAAAAGGAGTAATAAATCCAAAACTGGCCATCCATAGCGACTTCCCTCTCAACCCTAATTATACCTAATGAAAAGAACCCAATCGTTGAAACTAGCACGAATTCAATTTGTGTCCTAGAGCATGAGTACCAAACTATGCTTTTATATACCTTGTCATTTATCTCCTCCTATCACAAAAATAAACCAAATATCATTTTCTAATTTTCAACATACAAACCTAAATCAAAATAGCTCACTACTATAATACAATTCTAAATCAACTTTCTTATTTCTCAATTTCATCCATTTTGTAAAGAAGAGAAAGAGAAATATGTGTCTCTCTCTATACATATTTTATCGCAAGTAAACTTAGAATTGTAAGAGCAAGTTAAAATATTTCTTGAAGATTTGGATCAATAGCTAGGAGTAAAACAACCTCTATATAATATTTAGAATTTTTGCATTCAACAGGATGATGCCGCTACTTTACTTAAGAAATGCTTCCCTTTTAACCAAAACCATATATCCAGTAGCAGCTTCCACAACAAACACTTTAAATAACCTCTGTCACAGCAAAACTTCAATTGGAATACAACATCATTTATGAAGTCAATAGATTTCAACATAAAAAGTTGCACCATCTTTTCTTATAATTGAACCAGATTTCTGTTTCTCCATTTAGAATAAAAGTCTCTCGTTTAGATAGAGATATATCCCTTCTCCAAGCATTTTGTCTCTAACCTTCTCGATCGATGAAAGAGTTTTCATCATTTATCCATTTTATGGTACATTTTTGTGTAACAACCTAAAATATTTTGTATCAAAATGAATTTTTTTCTTTGATATGTATTAGTCCCTGATATAATAATGTCTCCATCCAGAGTTCCATTTGTTGAGTGGACTGCCGTTGGCTGGTAACTCCAAACAAATTTTGCATTTTATTTTGAAATATTAATTCTTTAAACATATAGTTTATTTTAATTACTGAATAATTATTACTTAAATTTAGAGTTTTTATAATTTAGGCTAAGAACATAAAATGTAAATTTTTTTGATGTTGATACTTCTCAAGATGCTTTGGGGATTAAAATACTCGAAAAGGAAACGATGTAATTTCACCCGCATACTCTAATAAATGAAATATAAAATGATTGATTAAAATTGGCGAATTATTTATTAAATTAATTTAGTTTAATTGAGAAATAGCAATGATATTTATATGAAAATTAGAATGAAAAAGTTTACAATAATTCTTATAATTTTTTGTATGCAACTTTGTAGTTGCCAATAATGTTTTGATTACTTTTAGAATGAAACAGGATGTATTCAGTACACCTGGTTTAAATTAGTAGGTTTGTATTTCTATTGAAACAGAGCTTTGTCACTTTTTTGAAGGATCTTGTTCAAGATATGAAATTTCATATACTGTAAACTGTGATGAATTGAAAAATGTAAATGCCCTTGTCTGCAAGAATGTAATAAATCAACCAATTAGCTTCAGTTTTGTAAATAGAGGATGTGTACAATCATATTCAACTGATAAATATTTATATAGTGGAATCAATTAACTTGGATGTAATAAAACGACTAGATGTTAATGGATTGATGATTGATGCTTTTGTAAGGGAGAAGTATTATCAATCTAATTCTTAGATTGCGCTAAAATTTCTTCTGATAGATGTCAAAATGATAAATTGTGTATTTTTTTTTGACAAATTAAGGTCTCTGTTGAAACAAGAGATGCAGCGATCTTGTTCTTACTTCTTGTTCAGGTACTAAAGCAAAATCAACTTGTTATGTGAATCTCTGTAATGTAGTTCTGCTTCCAAGTTTTCGGAATTATTTAATTTAGATTGTAGTCTTTATACTATTGCTGGTAAAAAATGAGATGATGATCTATGGAATGATAATCATTGTATTGATTAAGGGTGTCAACATTTCAATCAAGACTAATGTACTGGTATTTGCCAATGGTCATACTCCTAATGTGTACTCAAAGAATGCAACTATAATGACTTACACTGGAATCATGAATAATAAGCAATGTTATTGGGATGGTTCTTATTGTTAGGCCCTTACTTCCTGTAAAGAGTATATCACTTATTCCAAATTAATTGATACCAGTTCATTAACTTTCCATGGATTTAAGCTGGAAGGAGAGGTATGTGTATTATTACCAGACTTTAATCTTTAATTGTGTTGCTTGTTCAGAAATTACAGACTCTTGTACCTGTTTAAATATGAATGGATACTGTTACTACAGTGAATCCAAAGGATGCATATCAAATGTATGTAGTGATCTCGATTAAACTTCTTGTGGTAAAAAATATATACAACTTATTAATGGCAGCTAATTCAGAAAGATGCACATATATTAACAATTAATGTAAACCATCCTATGCTAAATTGAGAAATATTGAAATTACTGCAAGATAACTATCTAATGAGTGTCATTGGAATAGTAATGTTATGAGATGTCTTGATTGCAGCTCCTAGTGTAAATCTAACATCACAGAAGTAGTCATAGTCATAGAGAGCTCTATTTCTAAGACTACCTAAGCAATTATCATGCTTATAATGGTATATATTAATTGATATTGATATCGAAATCATTATTTAGAGGATGAGTTTGTTTTAGTTTTAATAAATTAATTTAATTATAAATATTTTTTCTTCTTAATAGTTTCATAGATCTTTTTCTTGTTTCTCTTGAATCTGATTGCTCTTACTCACAGAAAAATAAACAAAAAGATAATTATGATTAGTTATATTATCATTATCATATATTGTACATACTAAGGATAATTATTAGGTATTAATTATTAATACATCCTAATTTTACTCAAATATTGAAATCTATAATAAATTCTATGATATAAATATCAGATAATAAAGCTCTCCTGAACATATAGTCAACCTGTAAAGGCCTGCTTACTAAAAATTTTCATCATAAAATTTCAAATCATCCCTCCCACCAAAGAGATTCAATCTAGATTAATAATTCTGCAACTTTATATTCTATAGAATCTATTAAAATTAGCACTTGAACACTTTCATCAATTGGTAATTTGATAAAGATATATAAGGGATAATTATTATATTCAATGGTTGTTGAAAATCTAGAATTAGGTTTGCTTTAGGGTTAATTATGATGAAAAACATTGTATGAAATGAAATGCTGGAACCCTTACTTTATGCATTAGTAGATTATAATTTTCTATTATTAAGTATTTCTATGAAAGTAAAGGGCAGCAATTTATGTATTTCAAAATACTACTTTCATTTAGGTATGTTACCTTTGTAAAATAAATATTAAACGTTTTTTTTTATTTGGATGATGACAAATTCAAAAAAAAGTCATAAGAGGTGGGGTTTTCAATAAATTTAAGTTCATAAATAGATTTGTTTTTATTCCTTTTGAGATAACAAAAACACCAAAGATGGACGGTGAAAATAAGAAAGTGATCTTAAAAATTTAGTAATAATAAAATTCACAAAGATCAAAAACTTTGGAAAGATCAACTTTGAAAATATTTATCAGTTTTTTTTTAAATAGCAAATGTAGAGAGTAAGTCACTTTGAAATATAGTTAATCTATATTTGAGCTGGATAAAAATTATAAAATATAACTATCGTAAATAAAGTGAATATTCTATCTTTTCAAAAAATAATTTAATTTGTAGTTTATTTTGTGCTTTTGACTTACAAATCATAGGTTCATTATATTGGAGGAAAATTCCACTTAATCCATGTAACGCCAGTAATTAATAATTATGAATATTTATTTAACTTATTGAACGTCGATTTAAAGGGTTGTTATTTTTTAAATACCTTAGTAATTTACAAATGGATCAAAATGTAGTTCATTTCAATACAGTATTGACAAATTATAGTGATTTCTATATTAAATTAGGAGAATACTTTACTGAGTAAATAGCTGTTCCATCACTTATACTGGTCTGGAAATTTCTTTAAGCCTTATTCCTATAACCTAATTTATAATAGACAGCGAGCTTGTTGCAATACCTTGGTAAAACACATCCTAACAGGAATCATATAGGCAGTTGATTACAAAGGTTTATGATACTTTATAAACTTAATTACAATACCATGCCCATCACGTTTTTCTTATTTTTCAAAGTTCCCCTTAATGCTAAGAATAATAATTTTTGCTAATTATTATCTTTAAAAGGAGAGTTCAATTTTGTTCAAAGGTTGAAAGGTTTTAATTAAGCATTGGTTTTAATTCCTCTTTATTGTCTTGTTGGCTAAATTACCAGTATCATCTATTATTTCAAATTGAAATTAAGCTACATTAGAAAAAATGACTCCAATAAATGAAGTTCAAATAAAATTAAAGAGATAATTAGAAATTCAATTATGAAACACATTAATCAATAATTCTTGGAAAGACAATTGGTATAGAAATTAATAACTTTTAAAAGTGGTTCTCAAATACGGTTTTGGATTAATAGAATATTTAATTCATCTACAGAAACCAAATTATTTCTGAGACCTATTGAATTACTATTTAAATGAAGCATGTTTAACTTAAGGCATTAACATGGAGAGCTGAGATTATATCCTCTTTTCAGGCATATCATCCAGGTTTTCCTTCCTTATCAATATTTAACTAAAAATTGAACAACTTTTCTTGATCATTGCTTGAAAAAAAATAGCAATTTCTATATGAATTAATTAAGAATTAAATTATTTTGAGAAATTCTTTAGACACATACAACAACTTTCAACAAGGATTTATTGATAAATGAGCATATTAAATATCTTAATGCTTAATATTTCATCCTTATCATCTAAATTTCTAGGTAATTTTTGGAAAACCCTTATATCTTTATTCTTTTCATCTTTTAATGTTATTTTTTTTTATTTCATTCAATCAACATTATTATTTTATTCATTTAATTTATACTCATCCTCCCGCGTCGCTTATTTAATTTGATGCTTAAAATTTGGTAAACTATATGGTTAGCAAATATGTCAAAATATTGGATCAGGATTATTCTGTGATTAATGAGTCATGAAAAAAGTCTGTATTTGTATATAATATTATCTGAGTATTATGTCTCATAACAGGTTCTTAATTAAAAATTTTTCTTTTGATCATTTATTGGCTAAATTGTCTAATTTCAATAGTTTTGGATCAAAAAGAGAATATAAAAACATTTGCGAAAAATCAAAACATAATTTTGCTTTGTGGCTCATATAATAGAATAATAGAAGTTCAATATTTTAATTTGATAAATCATCTTCATTTTTGAATATCCTTTCTTATATAATTGAATGTTTTGCAGAACTTATCATAAAGATAAAGTTTTACATTATCTTGAAGATCTTTAGAAGGGTTCACTAGAGTACAAGCCACTTCCAGCGCAGATTGGAAATGAGTCTTAAATATAACTAAGCAACTTATGATGGTATATAGTGGTTCAGAGAAAAAAAAATCACAATGTCCCGCAATTTAATTATTTCATACAAATCTCCCTATTCATTATTATGATGTGCTCACCAAAGCTTGATTTCAAAATAATCTTTTAATGCAATGGATTTGAAGGTTTAAATTTATTGTAAAGCGCAACCATCTTACTATATAATTAGAATTTTCACCCCATATTGAGATATTTAAAATTTTTCAATTGATAAATCTTTAATTGAAGTTTCAAGCTGAACAATTTTATTTTCTGTAACCTAAATTAATTACTCTTAATGGCCATCATTAATTTGATTTACCATTAAAATTTGGTTCTTATTTTTTAGTTTATCAAATTCTTATTTTAGTTAGGTAATTTAAATTTGAGTTTTTTATAGTCCTTCTAAAAATTCAAATCCCTCTAAATCCCTTTATCGTAAGCTTCAGGTATTGTCATGGATTTAAGAAGTTTTACTTAAAGATATGATAATTTATCAAGTTCATTGTTTTTTTTGTTTATTAGGGAACTTCTATTTCCATTTATTTATTATATATAAAGATTATTATTTCCAAAGCCTTAAAGGAAAGAGTAGGGCCAGTTTAACCAGTTAAGATATCCTCCAAAGTATTTTAGCTTGAGCCCTTTACTCCAAATCTTCACTAGATACTTTAATTAATTTGAATATCCAAAAATCTCTAATTCACGAGATAGAAGTCTAGTCCTATCTCATTGTCCTCCTTTAATTAGTCAATAAATTCTCTTTGTGTATTTACAAAAATAAGATTGCAATTCTAATCTTAAAAATAGTATCTATTATTAATAGTGAATTACTAGGGTGAAAAGAGTACTGGAGATTAACTTAGAAAAACGCCATGCTCATATACGAATACCATTCATCCTGCTCTTTATAATTCTTAAACAAGTCCCTCGACTATATTAAAAAAAATGAATTAGTGGATAGTAAATCTATTTAGATAATATATTCTGATTAAGTCTGACTTTTGTGTTTTAAAGGAAGGATTATTAACTTTTTACTATAGTATCTAAAATTAAAAACAACCTCCTCTGGTGATCTTCAATGATTCTTTCGATACGTCTTTTAGCTCCATTTTTCTGGATTAAGGTTAAATCCAAAATATTTGAATTATCTGTTCCATAAATAGAAAATACCCTTGTTTCTATTTATCTAATCTGAGAATTTTATATTTTCACTTCTTCTCTGGCTGATTTTTGCTTGTATAGACTCTGATTGTAGATCTTCTCCCTCAGTATAAATTTAATTTAATTTTATGATGATTTCCTTTTGCTAATAATAAAAAGTCAATTTTGGAACAAATTTCCAGAAAATTCTTCTTCTCATTGATCTTGGATTTTCTTTGTTTCATAGGAATATATTAAGTTGATGGATTAATTGTTTAAAATATGAGAAGGGTTTACTTTTCCACTTGATAATATCTGAAAGTATAATGGGGCTGGTTGAATTATCTTCTTAGCTTTGTAATAAAATCAGCTCCAGTTATTGAGTAATGGAAGTAAAATTTTTCAAGTAGAATTCTGCATTCACACTAAAAATCTGTTTACAGAATGTCTCCAATCTGAATCCTATTATAATTTCTATCATTAATCAGTTCTGATTTACAAGGCTTCTTTTCTTTTAGCTCTTATTTATTTGAGTACCCTTATCATCAGTTACCTCCCACTTCTATCCTTGGTAAATCGCTCAGAAGGCTCTAATTTCATTCTTAGATAATGTGATCTTTCTATTTATAGGAGTTACTTTCTCATTTTATAGTTGGCTTTTGATATTTGATGTTTCAAGTATTGAAAACTACTTCAACATCTTCTTAGAATGGCTTGATTTGGAGAAGATGGGATGTGGAGGCCTACTCTCCTCTGTAAACTTAACTATCTTCTTTTTTTTGGTACTAAATTCCTCAATATATCATCCTATAATGTTTACGTTTTACAAAATGCTCTTTGTATTTCATCATTAGATATTAATGATAAAAAATTTTGGCAAAAAGTCTTTCATAATAATGTTTAAGTTGGAGGAGTTAAAAATAGATCATTTTTATTGGATTAAATTCATATTAAGGGATGAAAAGATCAAAGATTTTCTAAAAAAAGTGTCTTCTTTAAAGCATATTGAACTATTAAGGGGATATAAGATAAAATTTTGAGGGTAAACTTTCTTATATTATTGAAAAGAATTAAAAAGAAAGATCCTAAAGTTTCAAATTGGAGTTCACCTGAATTAAAGTAAATTTAATAAAAACTTTAGGTTTTTATGAATACCAAAACTAGAAATAGCCTTTATTTGAGGAAGAGAGCCCTTTTATGCATGTTCACCTCTTATAATCTTTCTAATTTTCTATAATAAGAGAACTTATGGGCTTTTCAACCGATGATTGAAATCTTTGCAAGTTTATCCTCTAATGCTCTTGCCTTGAAGATCAAGTAAAACAATATATCCAAATTAATACTATGTATTATTTATGTGGCCAAGTGAATGATATAAAATTCTGAATATGTAAAATAGAAAATAAAACACTTGCTATTTGTTTGAGAAAATATTTTGCACAATTTGAGTTTTTCTTTTTGCCTAACATTAATTCTTTATTAAGAATATGAATGCCTCTTTCTGTTTTGATGTTAATTATTTGGCTTCAGTGATTTCAAAATGAATTACTTATGAAATCGTTTCCTGAAGTAATTCAATTAGAAACTATCGAAACTTTATATATTTCAACCAAGCAATCCAACTATGATAATAAATTTGCTGAATGACCATATAAATGAAAGTTTTCTTAATGTATACATTTCAGTATAATAGCCACGAACAACGTAATACTCCTCTCAACCATGGATATTTATCCAAGATTATTTCATAGTTACTTCTAGGAAGTAGCAACTTATTACTAACTTGAATGAGCCATACATTTTGGATGATATATATATATCTTACACTTCTTGTGATAATGAAGTCATCAGAAACTGTCTGAATTATTGTATCGCATGCATTAATGAAATAATAAATACTGGATACTTGATAGTAATTACAGTGAGCTCTTTCGTTTGCAGCTTTTTCCATATTAGCTTCTTCGTTTAACTGAAGATGCTATTTCTTCTAGATTTTTGTCAGACTCTACTTTCTGGAGTTCACTTTTTAGAAAAATGCAGACTAGTGGTAGTACAGATCATATTTTTTCCACTTCGTTAGAAAACTTGCATAATGATAGCCATCCTCATAGTGCAAACCTTTATGATTTGCTTAGCTATCGAATGTGGCAAATGTGGCAACATAATTTCATGGCTTAAACCATTATTATATGCTTTTGCTATCCTGGTGGAGCCAGTCACTATAGGTGATATATGTCTCATCAATATATAGTGAAAACTTATCATTGGTTGCTGAGAGTGAGATCATATCCAGTCTATTATATTGCTTTTTTACATTAATTTTAGTCAAGCAGTTCTAAAACTACAAAAAAATCTTTGCTAAAATGTTCAGATCTTGTGAAGGAAAACAAACACTTCTGTGTAAAAAGTTTCTTGAATTACTTTATTGATTAATGCTGTTGGTACTACTCGTTATTCAACTCAGCATTTGCTCAAATACTAGATCATTATCATCAACAGCAATTAACTGGATGATCATCAAATATCTTTTTAATCAACAGCATAAAATGCTTGTATAGCGAAATATATTTACAACATCCTTATCATTAGCTGAAATCAAAATGTAAGTGAAAAACATTAATGGATAGTTCATATTAGAGTAGCTTGGATATGCCTGATATAGTTATCTATAAATTTTTAAGTTACATATATGTAGGAAGGAAGTAATCTTTATAAATTTGAGTTTAAAATATACACATTATATTTCAGATTAATTAGGAAAAGAATAAAATCTCTTCATTATTTATTTTCATATAATATTTTGATCATCAAAAAATAACAAAATTTTCACTCTAATTTTTGATGAAATAACTTAAGTCAAAAGTTCATCTATGTCAATATTGTGGAGAAAATTTCGCATTCATTACTCATTCCTCATCCTGATATTGAAAAATTTACTATCATTTCCTAACATCTAACTTAGCTCTCATTTAGGCAATTAATAAATTAGTTTAGGGTTCTTCATCCAACCTTTATTGTGATAATCCTCATTATTTGCAAAATTCTACTAGTGATTTAACAAAGCCTTTAAATTTTATTAGGAGGTTGTCAATCAGTATCATCATTTACCATTTTATGGATGAACTCCAAAATATGGGGGAAATAGAGATAAGTGTGCTTTAAATTTTTTGAATGAATTATAAATAATTAATTATGAGCGGGGTAATTTATTTGGAAAATAGAATAAAGATTAATATCATAATGAAATTATTATGCATTTCTGTGACAATCAAGCCTTTAATTGATAAAAAATACTTGAAGCAGGAGAACCCTAAAAAGATAATTAGGTCATCAGTTTACATACAAAGTAGTTAATGAAGTACCCTTTTTTTTTTTTTTTTGATATTACATATGATATTGATATCAAATTTAAAGGGTTGAACTTTTTCTGAGAATAATTTGAATATTTTCAAAATAATCTGGCAATAAGAAATAAAATGAATTACTCTGTATTTTTTATTTAAAAAAGAATTTTGGTCATAAGACTCAATCGAAATTTTAATATTAATGAATATAATATCCCCTTTTCATTAAATAAATACATATGCTTAAAGAAATATTCACACTTTCTTTACAACATCAACTCTAAAACTTGTTAAAAAAATGGGGATTCTAGTACTAATTTCTTTGAAAATAAATTAGTCAAAGTAAATTGGAATTGGGCGGAAATAATAACTTTAAATTAAATTTGAAACTACTTATCGAAACATTAGAAAGCTTGCGATTCAACACTAAAGAAATAAGATAATTTTAACGAAGAATTTAAGAAAGTAGAATGAAATAAAATTTAAGAAAGCATTAGAAAATTTTTATGATAACAAGAAGTCTTTCACTTCAAATGATATAGGTAAAGCCATTTAGTTATTTCTTTTAAAGGGTATTAGGTTCTCAGGGGCATTTAAGCAGACAAAAGGGAGCAAAATTGAGTTAAGCTTAGAGAAAGGTTAGCTAGGAATACATTAATTCTTATTATCTAAAAACTACATCTTTTAAAAGAATTTGATAAAATTATAAATATTACAATATTAAATATGAGAGGTGTATAAACTGGAATTTATAATATATAAATTAAAGTACTGACATAATTACCTATAACTTTTGGCCTTGAAATAGTTTAAAATTGTCTTCTACGAATTAATGGCCTCTTAAAAGATTAATATAAAGATGATTCACTTTTAATTTAGAATGATGTTTTAGAGATAATTTAACATTCTAAACGGAATGAATGAGGATAAGATAAAAAATCCTTCTTATTCACAATATTAGATGTGGGATAGGGTTAGGCTGACTCTCTACACTATTTAGAATTTCCATTTTTCAATTACTGAGCTTCAATGAATAAGTTTCTTCTTGTATGGCTTTAAATGTATTATCTACCAATAGGAAAGCAATATGAATAAATAGTAAACCTCATTGAATTTAAATTCTAAGATTGCAATTGCCAGTATTCAAGATAAAATTGTGCATTTAAGCCATTAATATATAGTGATGGTTAAAAATTTGAAATTTAAACTCTGGTATAAAATATTTGAAAAAAATTGAACAAGAAAGTTCCAGCAAACCTTATATCTAAATACACTGATGCTTCTGATATAAGCACTTTAATAGCATTTAATTCGTTAAACAAAAATATTATTATTAGGATAGTGACCTTCAAAAACTGTTCGAATTGAGCAGTAACCAAGTTATAGAGTCATTTATTGTATTCATCATCATTGTGATTGTTTAACGATTCATCAATTTAATAATTTATTAAATTTGATTATTTTAGAAATGTTTAGCACAATTTTGAGCAAAATATAAATTAATCAGAAATCTGTATAGGAATTATGAATATAATTTAAGTTGATGATTTAAATTTAGGGTTTAGTTTTTATATTAAAGCTTCTTAATGAATGTATTGTCTATAATTGAATAGACTTGGTACAGTACTGGGTCTAGCCTTCTTAGCTTTGGAAGATAATAAAATTATACTTTTTTAAAAAATCAAATAACTATTTTCTCCAAATTTGAAGATGATAAATAGAGCCTTTACTGTCTCATCCTGTAAATATTTTCAAAATATAATTACACATCTCAATGTAACTAAAGTTAACTCAAATATTTAATTTATAAGAGAACTTTGGGATAAACCTTCCTTCTTTGATTATCTAAGTTGCATCCCTCGTTTATTTATCAATAATGCCCTCAATACTGATCGTATTAAGGGAAGTGATAAAATCTTTACCTCCACTATTTATGTAAAAGTTTCTCCATTTAGAATAGAGTAGAAGTTACTCATTAATGCTAATTACTCCTAGGTAGATCTTATTAAAGACATGGATCAACAATCAAAAATTATCATAGTTTAGCTATAACCTTATACGAAAGGATTTAGTAAGTAGAAGGATTAATTTGATTGAGGTTCTGAAATTCTCTTCTTATTTTCAATTTAAAATTTTTATATTTCTGAGTAAACAAGTAAAGATTTTTGCAGCTTTCAGTAATTTCTAAATAGTCCATATATTTGTTCATAAATCCATTCCAGAGAATAGGGTTTTTCTTCCTTGAATAACTTTTGGTTTTTGAAATTTGGTAATGAATCTCAAAGATTTTATCTCTTTTAACTAAATTATGGGCAGTTGATATATCTTTAAGATAGATACCTTTTAATTAAGAGTTTGATCTGATAATTAGCTATTCCAGAGGTATGAGCAACCTAGACTGGAAAATAAACTTAATTTGAGCTGCATTTAATTTTTATGCATGTGTCTTAAATTTTGTAGATAATAGGTTTAAAGAGTTTGATGATATGACTCAATACAATAATTAGACTAAACTGGCCAGCAACACTTATTATATTATGTGGTTTAAGTGACATATAAAATGTAGGTTCATCTTTTGGATTTGTATGAGGCTTACTTTTAATTCCTTGTTCTCATCTAGAAACTGACAGGTCTTTAAGGTTGGCTAATTTGAAGGACGCTGCTTTTTTCTTAGAGGCTAAGCTCTGTACTTATTCCTCTCTGTAGTATAACCTCGAAGTATAATAAAATGAAATTCCTTTGATTGTGTTCTAAAGAAATGAAGATTTGGATAATTAAAAATTTTTCTTTTAACCATTTTCATATTCCAATTCTGTATTCTTATTTCATCCTTATTTCTTCTCATAGCCTTCTTATATCCCAAATCATAATATTGTTAAGGATTCTTTCTGATACTATAGTTGATTTTTCCTTGAAAGCTGAATATTGAAATTTTCCTAAGTAGCTACTACTTTTTGCATTATTTTTTAAATCAAGAATTTGAATAACCATAATGTCAAACTAAATATTTAATGATAAATGATTATAATCATTCTTTTTATTAAGAAGGTGCAATTTTTTTTGAAAAAATAAAATATGTATTAAATTTTTATATAATTCAATTGATGAAATGTGTTAATATTTTTACTTTCGACTTATCAGCTAAATCTACACATGGTTAAAGATCTTATGATGTGTTTATGTTGAGTGTCTTATATAGAGTTGAATATTTACGAAAGATTCATTTGTTGATTGCTTAATCCATTTAATATACTTATTGGGAATATCAACTTCAATTATTATTATATCATTTATGGTAAATTTAAATGATATATACTTACAATCCCTATCTGATTAATCATGATTGAAACTTCTGCCATCATAATGTATAAAATATGTTCTAATATAAGAAATTAAATAAAAATAAATACCCTATTCCAGAACTTTAATAATTATACTTTTATATAATATCCCTAAAACCTATTCCTATCATAACATTGCAATTATCTAACATTTTAAATGCAAGTTTAACTAATCCATGTTTTGGAATCATTTAATCACAAAAAAGCACTACCATTAGCAGTTTCGGCAAAAACAATTACAGTTTAAGAAATTCAACTATTATTATGTTTAAATAATGTCGAAAATGTTAAACTTGAAGGATATTTATCTAATTACTATTACTACTTCTAATAATAATACTCATAATATCATATTATTTAAATCTATTTCTATAAATATTTAACATCTTCACAATCTTTTTGCAATGATATCAGTTAATCTTAAGTTCGCTATAATTGTTTTTTAAGGTTATAAATATCATCTGCTTTTATTTTCATTTAATAAGGATTCTGGTTTTTTCTAAATATTAACATATTTAATAAACAATGATTTATCTAATTCTTTCACTTTATTAATACTAGATGCTTTCATTTCATTTGACTGTTCGATTTTCTGATTCTCTTATAATATATCAATAACTTATAGATATGACTGAACATTTGGAAATGATTATAACATTGATTAGATAGAATCATAAAATTGATTATAATCTTGTAATTTGTCAAGTTCTATTGGAATCTCATAATTATAACTTCCTTTATAATGTTATGATAGAATTTCAACTTCATCTTCAAATGTATAAATTTTATTTATCTGATCTAATTCTTCTAAATCCTTTTCAATTAATTATATTTTCTAATGAAGTTGATTTATTATATTAAATTCCATTCTAAACCTAAAATTTGTATTCTTTAATCAAGCATTCAATTTATTTAAATTTTTCTATTCTTTTTTAGTTTTAATTAAATTTAATTGTCTATAATTATTATAATTCACTTTTCATCTCCCTAATTATAATTTTAGTTACATCCACCAAAACCATATTTTAAATATCAATCTTCTCTATTAAACACTTTATATAAAGGTATTTCTCCTCCTTACCTGTGGATAACTTTAAATCAATAGTTATAATCTCCATCTAATGTTTTTAACAAACTTTCCTTTTCTATTCCAAAGACATCATTTTATATTTTTGTATTTTATATCTGTAAATATATGTACACAATTAATATTATA